ACGAGAATTCTACCACTGAACCTCCAATGTCCTCTAAGGAATGATACCATATGTTAATTTGCACTATTCTCCATCTTCCTCAACTACAAGGCAAGCTGATTGTGTACCTTTTATGTTTTTCATATCCTTCTCACATTTAAAAATGAAGCCCTCCGGCTAATAATTGAAGCTAGAGAGCCACAAGTATATATTTGTTGGCTCAGCAGTTAATGGCCTAGAATAAATTCAGTCCAAAATCACCAAATTAGAAACTTTATGACATAGTCAGAAACTGGTCTTCCTTCCCCATACCTGCACACAGTGCTCTATTCATTTCTTCCAAGAAAGGAACTAGATTAAAAATGAGGACTACCCCAAAATACACTTATTTTGATAAAGCTCATTCCAAGTGGGTTCTTTCCCCTTCTTCCTTTCTCTCTGGATCCTTCTAATGGCCTTCAGGTAATTTTTCCCCTGTGAACCAGTCACAGCAAACTGCCCAGCAAGCAGAGACGAAGGCATGAACACGATTTTAGACCATCATAGTTAGTTCCCCTCTGTTGCTCTTGTTATGGCAACAGCATAATTTTCCACAGCTGATGAGGATGTTATGCAGGAAAAGAAAGGCCAAAAGAAAGGCCTCTATGTTTCTACTTATTCCCCAGAGCACAACTCTCCCAGAAGAAGACAGTACAGCACATACAAAAGAAATTAGTTAGCAGAAGGAATCCCATTAGCTAGCATCCCACAGGTTAAAAACAGCAGTCTCTTTGAATGTTCACAAACTTCCTTTTCCAGTAAGATAAGCATCCTAAGACAGTGAAGGAAAATACTGGAATAGTGATCAGGACACTAAATTCAAGACTACCCACTGACACTAACTGGCTGTATGATACTAATGAGTTACTTAAATTTCTCTGAGTCTCAGTTTTCCTCCATTATAAAATGAAAACATTACTCTAAATCCCTTGGAGCTAACTAGAGTGTTATAAAGGTGAAGCCAACTACAGCAACCTTATCTTCCACTGAAGCTCAAAGTAGCTTCTCAGTAGAAGAACCAAATATCCCCACTCCTTCAGAGGCAGATAGGGAAAAAAAAAAAAAAAAAAATCCAAGGGCATTTTTTTTTTTCCTGTGTATTTTATTCAACAAAAATTTTCCCCTTCACAAGGAAGCTGGTGATAGGGAACCCAAGGTTGAGTAAGGATATTGCTGATGTGTTGTGAGATTGTTAACCATTGTCATAGGGCAACATGTGTAGTAACTGTTAAATGAGAAACTATTTTGTTCTGTAAGCCTTC